TTTTCGTGTTTCGGCAAACGTGCTGATGAACTTCAACACTGTAAGGCCAGTGGAATATAGTCGCATTTGCTGTGGATGATGGGGCGTGTCAGCGCGGCTGCTTTGGAGCAGCGCCAAGCTGTTTTTCTTTCTGCGACAGCGACAAACGACAAAACTGTTTTAGTCGTTTTCCACCAGTTGTTAGTACTGACCCTCTTCAACAACCGGCCGAGAACGAACTGGTGGCATGCCAAATGGAGCCGCGCTGTCACACCCCATCATCCGCTGCGAACAAGACAGTAGCTATAACTGTGTTTTACTTTTTTCTATGAATTCCCTCATTTCGCCTCGCTTCTTGTCTCTGAATAACGCTCTGATAATGTTCTTCTTGAAAATATCGCTGCTCTGTCTATATTTCCTCATTTTCAGATTCGATAACGGGTATGAGCTGATTCTTTCCACAGCGGAATTGACCCTCTACTACGTATCCCGATCCACTTTATCCTCACTACTATCGTACTCTGTGCTAAATTATCCATTTGCGGTTCTGGTTAAGATGATGGTTTCCAACATCATGGTTATCAATGATTTGACTGCTTCACGTATTGATGGAGCTCGGTATGTTGCCGAAAATTTGTTTATTTTTCCCTGCATTTCATAATACATTTTTTTCTATGCTTAAATATTTAGATGTTCGGCCAAAGTACTCGATGGCATGTGCTCGAAAATGGCCTCTTCAAGTATGTCTAATGCTTCTTCACCATTAGAAACTATGGCCACTTCGGAAGATTCTGGTGACAGTTCTCCTGTCACTCCACAATCCAAGGTCTGGCTCTCGTTCCAGGTTCACTTACCTTCTCATACTATATGAATGATTACCAAGTAAATTCAGTGTTCCCCTCATCCGTGTGCTACCTTATTTGGCCAATTCTATGCTGCGGATGATTTTGACGTGTTGGAAATGCTAGGAGAAGGTTTCTTCAGCAAAGTGTCGAAGGTAAGTTTCTAGATCAAAGATCGTCCTCATTTGCTAGTCTTACTTGTTTTTTTATCCGAAAATTGCCGGCGCCATTGCGGCGAGTCGTACTCCATCGAACACGTTTGCTGTTCGGGCAGTTGCTGACGATGCACGGCTTAGATTGCGCTGTCGTTACAGAAGTCGTAATTTGAGGTGACGTCAGCTCGTGACCTTTGGGTTGTGGGGATTTTTCTCATTCTCAATTGTTTAGGGAGGGGGGGGGACGCAGGGATGACCCTAGAATAGAAGAATCGAAGAAAGGGCACGTCGTACATTGGGAAATCACCAGCGGAGGGTCGTATTCGGTGTGAGAGAGTTTCTTCGATAGTTACGTTTTCCTGTTACATGGGCGCTATTCACACTTTGTGATAATTCCATGGGGAGGCACATTTGCTCGTCGCTGAGAAAGAAGGGAGGGGGGAGGTCTATTTTGCAAAAAAATCTCCTCAGCGATAGGACCTGCCCTGACCTACATGTTCGAAACATATCCCTATGTTCATGACATTGGCTAGGCGTAGGGGACAACAAAAAATAAAACTTCGTTAAGAAGTGGCAGGAGCTAGGACGTAAGTAGGGAGGCAAATCGAGCACCCCCCCCCGGCCCACCCCCCCCGCCCCTTTTGCCCTGGACTAATATCTTTGACCTTCACATGTCCTGCACCAACGTTCTTTGTTATTGTGCCTTTTTTGTAGGATTGCCTCTCTCTCTCCTTGCTATGCGTCTGAAGTGGAATCACAGGTCATCCATCGCCGTCTCAAGGGCTCAAAGAGACGGCCTATAATAGATGTGAATGTCTAGTCATGTGAAAGGACTTGTATTGTTTAGCACACAAACACTTGCTCCGACTGAACATTGACATCATCACGAAGGGGTTCTTCAAGTCACTTGTACGAATGGAATGTTAAAAATTAGATCGATGAAAATTATCAGTGAAAATTTCATTTCTTCGCACCAGTTTTGTATGTATTCAATTGTTCTGGTGCTCTAATACTGGCATTTTTAAGCTCCTTCAATTCCAATAGAACAGGTTGTTCAATGTATGCGCTTCTGGGTGCCACAATTAAAGATGCTTAGAAGAGCGTCCGCCATTAGCTTTCTTCACCTGCGTCATTACAAACCTGCTAAATTCCTGCCTGTTCCTCATTCAGGGGATTTTCAACAGAAATTACCAACTCTCACATAATTACATGGAGTCGAGTTTTTTTGTTGCGTTCGAATGCGAATATTTGCTGCGCCTGTTGAATTGCTTTTAACCCTCTTATTGCTTTCGATTCAATTCGCATAATAGCAGTTATGAGCGAATTGCAAGGGGACGTGTCTTTGAAAGATCCTTAGCGGGCAGGGCTGCATGATTTGTCATGCATTGCAATATAACTGTAAAGCTATGACTTCTACCACTCGAGAAAAAAAGGATTGTAGTGGACTTTTAACTCCTTTGAGATCCAACCATACATTCAGTTGGGAAGAGGAACTTCACGGAATTGTGTCATCTGTTACTGAACAGAGCATATTGGGCTCTAACTAAACAGGCTATCCTTAACTGATTTTAAAATAGCGCTACAGAATTTCTCGGTCTTTCACAGTCCTACACTGTGTGAGGAGTGTATTTTGCGATTATGGTTCCAAAGGTCGCGGCGAGCCGCAGACAGAGAGGTGACGCGAGCGGGGTGTCCTGCGCGGCAGTAGCATTAGATCCCACCCACTCAACTTGGCAGCAGGCTGCGTCTTCGTCAACAAGTCAGGAAACAGTCCGGCTGCAAGCGTCTTGCGCAAAAGAAACGCGTGTTTCACCCCGTTGGCGATTATTCTGAGCAACTCGGGAGTGACATATTGTGCTAGATCGTAAGTAAATCCAGAACAGAACCGTTTCTTGTCGAATGTGCCAAGTCAGTTTTGGATCCCTTCCAAAAATTTTCTGTTATCCATTTCGTTAGTTTCCCGGTTTCTCCATTGAGAGGGTGAAAATTGTCAAATGCTCTCAGCTAAATTTTTTGTCAAGGAGTTCGGGATGCAAAGGAACACGGGACCATTCCAAGGCTAATGACCCGCAGATGAGGGTTCCTATGGTGCGCATCTGCCTCATTCACCTTTATTATATTTCCTGTCGTCTTGCTGGCTCGGGATCAGACCGCATATGCAATCTCGTCTAGGCCAAGTTTAACTTTAGTGTCGGTTGATTGGGGTCAGGTTCAGCTGGGAGGAAACAAAGCTGGCGTTCACGGCTTTGTGGAGCTGTGTGCCTTTAGCTGCAGTTCTGATTTAAAGTCCGATGCCGCTTATCTCTAAAATAGAGCGAAGAACTCTGGGCATTTCTCGACGCGAATATAGCTACGTTAATTTTTCGAACGTTGTAGGTTCGTTTGCGGTCTACTGGCGAAGAAATGGTCTTGAAGATTGCAAAGTGTAATGGCTCCGCAGAGAATCGTCGCGCTGTTCATGCTGATGCCGCTCGTGAAGCTGCTATGTTGCATCGACTCTCTCATGAGAACATCCTCGCATTACGTGGAGTTTGCATTCAGATCGCCGATGATGGTGAGTTATTACTTTCATTGAAAAAATGTGCTGAAAATTTATAGTTATGTTCGGATGTTTCTAGGTTGTTGGGACATGCATCTGTTAGTGGATTATTGTGAAGGTGGAAGTTTATCGAGGCTGATACTTGACCACGCGACATCATTCCCATGGAGTCAAAGAGTTCGCTACGCGTTAGATATTTCCGTAGCTATGCAGTATATACATTCCCATAGAATCATCCATCGCGATCTCACGAGTATGGTATGTTACTGTTTGGTTGTTTGCACTTTCCAGCTTCTGGGTGTATTTATACTTTGGGTCAGCGTTCTGAACATACGCCAGCGTTCTTGGCGACCAGGAAAGTATAGGTATCGATCCGTCTTGAGCAATCCACGGCTTGTTGCGCAAAACGCTAGTACGGCTCAGAACGCTGATTGATGTATACATTCCTACTCGCTCAAAACGCTGCAGTACGACGCAGAGTATGAACGCACTATTACTTCTATTTGATCACCTACGGTTACAGAACGTCCTCTTGCAAACTTCTCATGGAAGTTCAATCTGGGGCCGAGCAGTTGTAGCCGATTTTGGGTTGTCATGTCGATTTCCAAGACGTGGAGAGAAGCTCCCTCAAGTTGGAACTACATACTTCATGAGCCCAGAATGCCTCAAAGAGGAGTACTATGATGAAAAGGTGAGGATGACATCTGTTGATAGCTGACGAGAACAAACAGCAATTACAAGAATAGTTAATTATGGGAAAAGTCTGACCAGGCGGGAATTGAACCCGCATCACATTTCCGGCTGAGAATGCTGCCTGTTACGCCACCAGGACCGCTCTTACTCTCTCAGCTTGACGGCTTTTATGCCGCAGTCTTACAGTGTTGAGCTACGCCGCTGGCGCACCTGATAGCACGCTCGTCCGGAAAGCGTGAGGTGCGGGTTCAGGCCTGGTTTGGGGTCAAACTTTTGCCGACGACCCAGCATTGTTGTGATAGCTTTCAAAGGTGAATGAAGAGCATTGTCGAAAGTGACACTTCACTTCAATAAAATAATGTTTCAGTCGGATGTGTTCTCATTTGGAGTGATAATGTGTCAATTGATCGCAAGAATTGATGCCGATCCCGACAGTGGTCTACATCGAACGAGTAACTTTGGCCTCGATTATGTGCGCTTTACGCCTTGCTGCCCTCTAGATACCCCGATTTCGTTTCTTAAGCTGGCCTTCCATTCATGTGTTGTAAGTTTCAGCCATTTCTGTTCCTATTTTCTGAAATATTCCCGTTATGTCTAAATTTTTCAGATGGATCCTTTGGAAAGACCGTCTTTCGAAATGCTAGTACTTTTGCTACAGAAAGTAATTAGTGCGGTACCTTCTTCTCCACACCCATTAGAAGGTTTGTTCACTGTGGAACTTTTCTTTACCAGTGAAGTTGGACAGTTTCCAAGAGTTGAGTATGATTGTTGCGGGAGGACATGGTCACCCCCCCCCCCCTCCTCTCCCCTCCATTCTCTCTAATTTACTTTCTTACTTCTGTGAAGTTTGTGGCAGCGTCCGAGAGGGTCACCGAGTAAGGCAGTCGAGTCGCTTCTCCTGCAATACCACAGCTAACATTTAACGACATAGTTGTAAACTTTCTCTAGGCACAGTGCAACTTTGTGGGCCACCATGTGGCACTTACCTTAGGAGAAGGTAGTCCAGGCCACTTGTGAAGAAGACCGTGAATTGTAACCAAAACGGCTCCTTTTATACAATTTCGTAGCTTCACAGGAATTTGCAGGTTTCACCGGAGTGTAACCTGGTAATTAACATGAACTAGCAAAAAAAAACTAGCGAAAGTGCGAAATGCCCTTCCCAAGCCGACCAGAGCCCTTTCTATGGTATATGCCCATAGAACTTTGGAGGCGCGCTCTTGGTAATAGTTATCCATCTGCGTATATGTCCCCAGTTCTAGCTTTTATTCATTTCTTTTCTTCTTTTTCAATTTTTCATTTACAGTTCGTGGAGAAAGTAGGTTATCTCGATCTCGATCCGATGCCGCTCTGAAGAAACCAGCAGCAGCTGTAATGGCCGCTAGGAAGATGTCCAGTAATTACTCCAAAACTGTGCGCCCAATCATAGAAGGCACGTGAATTTCGTTTTTCTCCACATTTTTGATCGATAGTTGATCACAGCCATCAACAGTGTGTGACAAATCCAATACCTTACTGTATCCTCGGGTTTTAGTTGGGCGTGAAGTTTGAAAGAAGAGCTCTGCACCTTAATTTTCTGTAAGCGGAACGCTTCACTGAGGGAATTGAGCAAATTTTGAACCTTTTAAAATTCGCAAGAATGCTTTCAAATTTAACACGCGGGCCACTTCGAATTCTACTGTTGTGGCGGTCCAGCGATTGACGGTGGAGCGTCCTCGATCGTGGTTGCACGATCCAAGCGCTCGAACGATTGGATACGCGAAGTATGCACGCGCTCTTGGAAAAACATTTCCAAGCTCGCTATTGTAAGAGAACCATAAGGACCGCAACGTTAAACTAAATTGTATACTTTCATAGTGACCTCCTCAGTCATGATCCCATACGGGTACCACTGTCTCAGAAAATCCCCCTGCCCTCACCCCCATCCGCCCACCTCTTAAAAGCACAACAAGAACAGTATCAATAGTTGCATTTAAGGCGAGTCAACGGAACTGGAAAGCTCCTTCTTAGCAATGGAAAGACTAGCGCGTGATGTAGCACGAGATGAACCAACTCTGGATCACACAAATCCATTCCTGGATCATGAGCGGTTCCGAAAGGAGAGGAAGATTATTCCTAAAAAAGGAAATCGTCGGCGAAGTGAAACAAAACCCGAACGTGGCCTTTCTGATGGTAATTGTTTGGTAGGAGACCATATCCGTCTTTCCCCACAGAGGTATGTTTTGTTTTCATTGCTTTCATTTGGATATTTTCGTGAGCCTTACCATTGAGATCTTCGTTTTTAGCCCTCATTTTGGAGTATTCCGGCGAAGGTGCTCGTCACTTCCGCCAGAAATCGATTCATCGTCCATGTCGAGGGGTCTAAATGAGGACAAGTCGGAGTTTTGTCCGGGAGGAGTGCCACTGGTTTATCGTGATTTCGACATGGTGAGTCATTCTTCTTACTATTTGTGCCCA